TAGTCATTACTTCCCACTGAAAACTATTGGGCTACTCTTTTACCACCGAATAGTGGGATTAACCATCACATTATAACACCCCCATTGGCTGAAAGGATGAGCATGTTTGGTGAGATGGGGATTCGACCGTGCGACCTGCAGATTGGGAGTCGAGCCACCTAACCATCTGGCCAGAAAAGTATGAAAATATGGAATTATCTAAGTAAGAGCAGGTGGTGTATGACCATCTTTAATATCCCTCCAAATGAAAATACAGCCCCAAATTCTGCTAAAGTCTGTGGGCAATAAACACTGAAATGGAAAAGCAGAAACATTTTAAGTGCATATATATACTTTCTGCACTTTTTTTTTATCTCATAAGGCAACAACATTTTTCAGAATTCTTACTACTCGTAATAATTTTAGAGTGCACTGTGTTTGATCAAAAAGTTAATATCAACTGTAGTATATGGCATTTCTTTTAAGTCAAACATAAAAATAAAGAATTTCAACAATCTTTTTTTTATTAATACACTGTAAATAAAAGAAAAAGAGCAACATAACTGCTTCATAATTAAGTTTTCATCATATATAAGTATGTACAGGCTAGCATAATAACCACTGGGCTGCATTCAGTCCATTTTGATGAAGGGATTTCTTTGTATCTCATGACTGAAGTGATATTCTCAATAGAGGAATGAAAATTTTATGGTTAACATTTCACAGTCAGTGTTTTATTTGTTCACCAGCCCCAAAATTTCAATACATCTCAGATAAATTTTAAAGACTATTACCAAGCTGGAACTATCAAATATATTTCTGTTGTGATGGATAAAAACAGTCATTATAATGACTACTTAATTGGAATAAGTGTATCCACACCTCCAGGTGTTATGGGTATGCAGCTGTACAATTGTAATGCAGAAACATCATGATTATCTCTAAAAATAAAGAAGTTCTAACAAATGTTTTGAAGTACTATATATTACAGTTTCCATCAACATTCAGTAAACTTTGTTAAATTTATAGGCTTTGTCCATTCAATGTCTTCAGTCTGTAAATAAATCTATGTATCTATATCTTGTAAAAGAGAGTTTCTCAGTGATGGAAGATAATTCCAGTTGTCTAATGTGAAGAAAGTTAACATTTTCTTAAAACAAAAATGTATTTCCAATAATACTTACCTTTGTCATGACCATCACATAACAAAGCAAAGATAGAGAGATACATGGAAACCTTAGAAATTAAACCCTGATGCCATGCAAAAGACTGCATAAATTCTATGCCTGAAGCCTGAGCTTCTGGATAGCCGGATGTACAATATCAGATCATGGCAGCATCACAGAGATGGCCTAAGAAGAAATGGAAGAGGTGGACACTCCTCAAGGTACCGCAGAAGCAGAAAGCAGGTTGTAGCTGACAATTAAATTCTATCAACAGGACCAGACAGTGAGTTGGAACAAATCATTGTTAGTACCGTGAGTAACATATGAATTAGAGGGAAGGCCTAAACTTGTAATCCCATCTCATCCTGAAGAAATGCATCCATTGCCAAAGCCCAAAGATGAGGTACCAGAGACCAAATTGCCAGTAGTTGGGTGTACCAATGAGAGCCCAACCCATATTCTTGTAAAAACTGTCCATTCTTTATATTTGTTCTCCAAATTACAGTGCCCAGAGTATATATTATTTGACCCTCCACCCAGTATACCTACTGCAAATTACTGGGATCATAATAATGTGATAGTCAATCCCACTTCATTAGTAAAAGAGTAGCCTTAGAGTTGGCAGTGGGTGGTGTTGACTAGCTGCCTTCCCTCTAGTCTTTCACTACTAAATTAGGGACAGCTACATGAAGAGGAGGTGGGTGCTACTAGATAATTTTGCTCAATAATCACCAATGATTCATGAGTATCTAAGGTGCTCCAATGGTTATAAGCACACTTGAGATTTAAAACAAAATCAATAACAAAAACATGGTGTGGCTCTCTTTTCATTTCCTGAAGCAATTGAAGAATTCAGTTGTGGCTGAAATAATCTGTGAGTTGTATGTGTACAACTCAACAAGATGTACTGTAGGCATGAATAGTATGGTGATGCACTCAAGAGTATCAAATACATTAACAAGCAGAAGCCTTATAATCCCCTTGACAAAAGTCTGCTACACAAAACAGCAGGGAATGAGCAGGATGATGAGTGTTATATGACCTTGACTTAGCTGGTGAGGAGGAAGACTTTGGCTTATACATATCTGCAACCTGATTAAGAAACTTTGGTACGGAGAGGTATGACAGCCTCAGATGATAAGAATGAAAATTTTGGCCTAGATTTATATATATATATGATGGCGTGCAAAAGTCTGATTATGCATATGCACACAGGTGAGTCAAAGTGTTCATGTCATGACCTCTTTAATGTCATAATGTATTTAAAGTACTTTATCAATGCATGCCATATCCTTAGCATCAAAGCATAGTTTATAATAGAAATGTTAATATAAGTTTTAATTTCTTAATTTAATTCTCAATCTTAACTTTTCTATGTCCATGACACTTTTCACCTAATTGCCTGTTTAAGATGTTATTTCTATCCCTATATATAATCTTCTGAGTTTGACACAAATTCCTCACTTATAGTGTATATATATATATTGCTAGGCCATAATTTCAATTTATGGCCTTTACTCTTCTTGCTTTACTGAGAAATAAAGAAGAAGGCCAAACCCACATGCCACGCCCCTCCTATCACATCCCGTCTTTCAAAACATGTCTGTAATTGTCTCTTACAATGTTATTGGCCATGTTTCTAACCAAAAGAAAGAGAACATTATATATAGAATAAATTGCATGATTGTCTTTATTCTTTGCACCGTAAAGTCAATAAAGTGCCATAAAGTCTTGATGGGTTTGGCTCGAAAACCTTGATCAAAAAATAAACGAATTTTTTTAAACCTATTTCTAGGTCAGTTGGAAAGCCAAATAAATTACAGTAGTTTTCACACAATCTAATCTGGTCTGTGATATGTTTTTGATTTTCTGAAATTCATGTTTGAAAGCCACATGAATTATGTTTTGAATAACAAACACAGTAGATAAAAGATAGGGTTCCAAAATCAGGCACTCAAGTGCAAACTGACCTAGAGCTATGTTCTAAAGATGTTTTTATGTATATTTTTTACTTATTACTATATATTTTACAATAAAAATAACTGAATTGTAAAAATTAAAAACCTACTGTGGAGGAGTGGTAGAACTGCATGAGGTGGTAAAAAGGAAGATTCTGACCTATACATATCTGAGAATTTGTGAGAAGTTGGATTAAGAAACTTCTGTGATAAAATGACATAACTACTTCAGCTGATAAGGAGGAAGAGTCTGCTCTATACATATCTGACAGAGTTTGAGAAGTCTGACTATGAAACTTTTATGAGGGAGTGGGATTACTGCATCAGCTGATAAAAAAGAAGATCCAAGTTTGAACTTTCTATAACTATAAAGTAACATACCTTTCTTTGAATACATTCAGTAATATTTTTCATGCATGTGCTATGTATTTAACTAACGTTCTTGTTAAAAGGGTTTAAATAGTAAGAAACACGTTAATCCTCACCCCAGTCTAATGTTATATCCCACAGTTAGAGGCCATTCCATAGAGCTAACATCAACTTGACCAAATTTCTGTGTTATCTTTTCCTTAGATGTGATCAAATCCCATCCAAGTAATAAAATGTTACTATAATTTGTATAAATTATAGCTGTGAGTTAAATCTTCCCTTGAATATGCATCATGATAATGATCACTGATTCAGATAAACTAGGATTGTGGAATCATGCACCAAGACCATGATTTGACTGAACAATGCAGTGTGGATACAATCCCTTCTGTCTTTATGGTATGAAGATATCTGTGCTTTACCAACTAGAATTTTCGTATGTTACATCGAAGCTATCCAGCAATGATGTAAGACACTGGTAAACTGGTTTTATCTCTATCTAATATTTTGATTAATGTTTTATACAAGTGTTTGAATCTTTCCTTCATTACTCAGGTTCATTTCATTTTTTCACAAAAACAGATTTTTAATCCTCCCATTATTGCAATATTCAGTGAAATTCCATAAAAGAATAATGGGTGTTACTACTGGTCTGATGCTTCTTTGGAATTCATAGTATGTGTAGAGCAGAAGCTTAATAACTATCTTATCATACAGCCAATGTATCATATATACAAATAAATAGTACTTAAATTTAGCTTTGATTATTTGCCATCTTGATGGTAACAACTTTCAATGCTTTTCATTTCGAATAACAAGACATGACTTTGTTGTTTTAGATTAGAAACAATGCTACGTTAAAAAATTTTTACTTCAATGTTTAAAAGTTTTTACAGGATTCTTTTGTCACAAAGAACTTATCACTTTCTGTTGTAATGACACCAATTTCTTAACTTCACTTTCTGATAAAATGCTGTTTTACTTTTTGTAGAAAAATATTTCAAAGCATAACCATAATAATTTTTTTCTGGGAAATTTCCAACAACTAGTAACAAAAGTTCTAGAATAATTTTTAATCCAATAATCACATAGTTTTGGCTGGAGCCAGATAGTATCAGATCTGCACATTGTTAAGCTCCAGAACCTGTTGTAGCAACAAGAACAATCTATTCTAGGAAAATAAATTATCATACATGTCTTCCAAACAGAAACTGAAATTAGTAAACGAAATACTGTGTACAAGTATATTTTTAATATTTTTTCTTTTTAGATGAATTTAGTTTATATTAATACAAAGCAGTAATAAATTAATTTGCTACAATATATGTAACATATTGTTGTGAACAATTAATGTTTTGTTTTTACATGACTGTAAATTATATTATTGTTTGTTGAAAAACTGTATGTGTTCAGTGTCACTTGTTAAACGATCTGATGTAAACTGTACATGTTCTGTGTAATTTGGTAAAAACCTGAGATAAACTGTGTGCATTAGTATCATTTGGTGAAATATTATGTAATTAGTTTTCAGTTTTTGGTTATGGAATCAGTTTTGGTTAAGTTATATATATATATATATATATATATATATATATCTATAGCACAGTAAGTGAAGTTTGGGGGAGTTTTATAGTCTCTTCAGTGAGCCAATGAAGATACTGGTATCAGAGAAACAACTTGATTGTAGCCTAAAAACTGCAAAGTTAGGCCTGAGTCCAGTATCAAAGAAACAACTTGAATGCATAGCCTGAACTACATAGTTATGCCTGAACCCAGTATTGTTTGGGAAAGTGAAATACTTTGTAAAAGTGGCTAATAAACCAGTTATTCAAATCAATACAAGGACTGTTCATCACTGCTTTAATTAGACTAGTGTAACAATATCAAACTGTGTAGGTGAAAATTCAGAGATATTGTATAAGGATGTTTTCAAAATTAAATTACAAAATATTAGGACAAACTTTCAGTCCAATATGGTGATTGACATTCCTGTAACAACAATAAAAATATTTTGAAATAAAGTGCTTGTTAGTTAAAAACACACTACATCAAGACATTAAATATATCTTACCTAATAAGATCAGATTAGTTAATATCTGTCTGGAGATGTAAACACTGATGATAATATCTTAACTTTACATCTTCTGATTCTCTGAAATTTATCATAAAAACATCCAAGAAACCACCAGTCATTTGCAGGTGAAAGAAACAGTATCATTTCTTTAATTATAAAAAAAAATTAGGGATATTGTAAAATTTTAGAAAATTTTTAGTGTAAACTTCAAAAATTATGAATATTTAACATTTTGTTTTATGCTGGAGATATTGGAATATATATATATCAAGAAGATCCATAGAAATATTTGACAGTGGTAAGATAATTATCTGTCAGTTTACCAGTTTGTTAACCCTAGTTAAGAGTGATAATTTCAGAACCCAGTCATAACTCAAATCACAAACAAGACAACTGGAACTTAGTTTCACAAATCACTTACCAAGAAATGCTACAGTAGTTGCTTGTGGTTTTGGTGGAGTAAGTATACTCACTTTAGTTATAATACCCAGTAAGCCTTCACACCCAATAAAAAAGTGCTTCAAGTCAAATCCTGTGTTGTCTTTCCTCATTTTTGACATGCAATTCACTATTTTCCCATTTCCCAAGACCTACAAAAAAAAGCAAAGAAAACTAGACAGTAAAGATGTTTCCAAGTTATGTACTTAGAATTGTTTGGATTTTTAAGGCTCTTTAACATCTTGTAAATATTTCAATTATTTTGGATTATATAGATGATACAATAGATAACTTTGTCTAAACTGTTTAGATTTCATAATTTTATACTAAACTAGGCCAGTACTAGAAAATGTTAGGGAATCATAGTGACCAGACAATACCAGCAAATACCTTAAATAAGTGAGAAAAAGAAGACATTAAAATCTAAATCTTTTATTGCAGCATACAAGTTGTTGTGAGAGATTTATTTCTAGCTTTACTCACAGGTACTACTTTACACATGATTAGATATAGATTATAAGCATAAGTCCAAATGTGCCATATGTTTACATGTACAAGGCATCAGGAACTAATCTGTTGGCAAGGTTAGTCCCTATGTTAAACCACTTAGACTATAGCTGTGTACAACATTAAAATAGATGAATCTCTGGAATGTGGAATAACTTATATCTGCAAGCCATACAAGAAATACTGCCACACATACTGGAAAGGTTGATGATTTATTGATTATACAATTCACCACACTCTGTTACTAAAGGGGGGAAACAACATAGAGATACCTAGTTACCAGTTATATAAAGGGCTGAATTGGTATAAGGTCCTGTTCCAGGGAGGGTTCTCAATGGTGGGAAGGTAGATTTATACTTACTGACCGACCTTAAAAATTGCAACAACATTCTAATAGGCTAGTAGCTTTAGCTAGTCCTTATTTGCCTGCCTTTTCAGGGTGGACAGAGTCAGGAACAGAATTTCTGAATAGCTAGTGGTTAATGTATTGCCTAGAAACAATAATAAGGTAAAAAATAGTGCCCAAATGGTTGCCTATTGGAGCAATGGAACTTATGCAGTCAGAAGGGAACCTCAAATAACCATGAGAAAGAGAAAAACAGGGAAAACCAAGGCCTAAACAACAAGCTGGTAAACAGGGCATCCATAGAAAAACAAATACTGCCATGAGAAGCTCTATAAACTTTACATCATATTCTTTCAAGAGACTAATCTGTCAAGCCCAGAAGAGTCCACTCTCATTGACTTTAACTTCATACAGTGGTGGCCATCCCCTACCCCCTATTGTGAAATAGTCCTCTCTGCTTTTAGCAAATTGCCTCCCCCAAAACTACAGTTACAGGTTAACAGCCTAGAGCTAAATTGTATTTATACATACAAAGTGGTATTAAAATGGATGAAAAAAATATCTTATTCTATCTTCAAATATAATATATTATTAAAACAAAAAATTGTCTCCTCTTGCAGCTCAAGGAAGAGTGGCTCTTCCACGTCCTCACTCATGGATACCTCTGACTTCATACCATGTGCTAAACCAGTGGGTTGGATAGCCATTTTTTATATAACAACAACATCTGCTACAGATATTATAACAGCTCTCAGTGCAATAATCACAACTGGCATGCTAGAAACCATCCAGATAGTTCACCTGAACTTATCAAGCCACCCAATTCATCAATGTTTACATGAAAGGTTACACAGCACATCATGCTGAAAACTGGAAATTCTTGACTGACCTGTCTAATAACAAACCTATGTACCTAGTGTAAATAGGTTTTAATGTCAGACATGGCATGGCCAGGTGGTTAGGGCACTCAACCTGCAATCTGAGGGTCACGGGTTCGAATCTCCTTCACAC